AAACTCATTTCCCGCCTTCTAGGAATCAAAATATTCACGGGGGAGAACCCCCGGACCCCCCTTTCTTTTTGGGATTTATGGATTAATGGAAAAAAAATCGTATGCAATTAGGCCTACTCAATTTTTTTGTATGCATGTATACACACATAAGGCCTATCTACTGTAATAACAGGGATACATTTACCTGACTGTTTTCAAGAGGGGAAAACCTTGAATTTTGAAGAACTTAAAAGTAATTAAAAGACACCTCGGAAGTCGGGAAAACTCATTTCCCGCCTTTTAGATATCAAAATTTTCCCGGGGGAGGACCCCCGACCCCCCTATTCTTTGGAAACCTTCAATTTTGAAGAACAAAGTCATTATAAATCTAGCTTAAAAGTCGAGAAAGGTCATTTTCCACCATCTAGAAATCAAAATTTTCCCGGGGGAGGACCCCCGGATCCCCTTTCCTTTTTGGGAAAAATGTTGACCCCCATCCCCTATGTTTTTCCAGATCTGCATGATTCATATTCCCATTCATCTTATAGGTGGCCCCCCCCCCACTTTGAAAAACGTTCCGCCGGCCCTGACAGCAACCGTCAATATCAACATAGTTAACGAAATTTTGTCATCCTCCTTCAACAACCAACAACATGAATAATATAATAGTCGCTTAGTGACTGTTGTACTATTAATAAAGAAATACAACAGTTCCATGTTACTTGTTTTTACTAAATTATTATTATTGTTTTTTCTTAATTAGCTGGTTTTAGGCCGAAGGCCCAGGATATGCCAAGACTGAAATTAATCACTCTTCAAAGTGGCATACCCCTTCACAAGACAATCATAAACACAAGATTCTCTACGTAAACTAAGCCTTATTATAAGACTTAAAGAGCAGAGTTGTTTACCGTGCCAGGAATTGTACCCAGAACCCTGGGATTGGAAGGCAAGCACCTTAACTACCAAGCTATTCAACTCTACTATTATTTGTTTTGAATTTGAATTCGAATAAAGTTATACCTGATACGTTATCAACCCATTTACCAATTGGAACGTTAAAATCAACATAGAGGTCTGGTTTTATAAAAATAGAAAGAGAAAAAATCGATCAAAAATTGAGTCACTTCAGTTGATAAACACAATGTTGTTTGTCTGACACATTTAATTTATTGACTTGTTCGAGATATGGGCCTAGATATAATTATTATTTATACAAGGTCAAATATATAAGGTAAATAGATGCTGTAAAGAGTTGAAATGCTTTAGCTTCAAGATTCAGCAACGAAGAAAAATATAGCAAATATAGTGTGGTTTTAAAAACCCCACACACTTCACCACATTGGCAGGTAGTCGATAAACACTAATTATAGATTTGTTTTACATATTAACTTGATACATTGTCTTGTTTTCTGAAGAAGTCAATTACGCAACACGTTATTGTCA